ATAGTAGTAGTTATAGTAGTAGTTGTAGGAGTGTTTATTGTTTAAAATGAAGAATTGGTTGAATAGTTGATTTGAAATGGACTATGATTAAACAATAACTTCCAAGTATATCTTTTTATTTTTGAAAAATAAGAAGTGAAGAATATATAAATTATTAATACAGGGTAGCAATATACACCACATTGTAGCACAGGTTATTAGTGTGATATCACTCTGTCTACAGACTCTTTTATGTACAATATAATTTGGACAGGTACTGTACAAATTATGATAAGCTCTTTGAATGCTCTATAAGTCAATCTCAGTGCTAAAATACAACAACAATACTTTACCTATGGGATTGGTAAATTCCCCAGCAACCTTCCAATGACTTATAGATCTCTGTTTCCGCCCACTTCTTAACAAATGCCTTGTTGCGTACATTGATGACTTGAATGTGTAGTATCCACGCTACTATTCAGTGCTTAAATACAATATCTAGAGTTGAACCTAATGCTGCTATAAGATCTGTTACACCTTAATCAAATATAGCCAACTCAGTTTAAATACCTCAGCTTCTTAATATATAATTATAGATTGTGCTATCATCTCTTTTTCTTTTTACTTTATTCTGAATAAAGATACAACACAGTCTCATCGTATTTTCTACTTTGTTTAAACCTATTCAAATCCAAATACAACAGAATGTTTATTCCCAAAATTACCATGAACATCTGCTACACTTAGAACAAGTATTCAATTGCATCAAGATAGCAAAACACAGGTTGAATCCCGAAAAATGTTTTTTCTTCAAGGATCACCTAAAGTTCTTGGGATACATCATCACCAAAGAAGGAATTAAAACGGATCCAGCAAAAATAGATAAAATCGCAAATTATCCCATATGTCGTATTTACCCTATAAATACTTAATCTTGTCGTATGAGATTACTATAAATCTATACTCTAAGAATGAATAATACAAAGATACTGACAACAATACATGTTATTAACATATAACGCGATATGCCCAACTATTATTGGACATAATTAAATCAGTTCCTTAATAATTCTATCTTCACATAAAATGACGCTGTTTGTAATAATGAGCTCTCTCTCGTCTTAATATACAATAAAGAGGTTATATAGAGACTCATCGACA